CTCCCACGGGCGGCCCCGCCTCCGCGGCCTGCCCATCCCGGGCACCCGTCTGCCCGGGTGGGGGATCACGGGTGCCGGCTGCTCCCAGCAAGCGCCCGCCGGGGCGGTACACCGCTGTGCCGAGCTGCCCGTGGCAGGAATAGAAAAGTTGATGAAAGAGAACTTGCTCGCGGGCCGTTGCAGTGGACTGTAAAAGGGACAGGGAGGAAGAGGAGGGTCAGCTGTGCAGCGGCTGGGGCTGTGGGGGTCTAGGCCACCTCTGCTTAGTTTGAGGAAGGAGTCCTTCTGGCCAGGGAGCACCTGGTCCTTGTGGGACTTACCTGCTTCTTTCTGAGTTCCCTTCCCCATGGTGAGCTGCTCTTCGGTGCAGCCATCCTGCTGTTTCAGATCGGTTCTCATATGCGGGCATCTGCTAGCTTCCTCGTAAAAGAGGGGAAATTCTTTGATTTATCTTAAATGGAGGAAGCTCTTTAAAAAGGTTAAATCTAAAACAGCAGGTTGCAGTCTGTGGCACAGGCACCACCAGTGGTACGCAGACAACCTGTCAATGGCACATGTTAACAGCTGTATTATAATTACTTTATCAGACAAAAATTTGCTGGTGGTATTTAAGGTTGAACTAAAAAAATGTTGATGGTACTTAATGTTGTATAATTTTAAGTTGGTGGGGCACAATCTGTCAGAGTTTGGGAGCGCTGATCTAAAGTGTAACCAGGTCTGTTATGGTATGTACTCTGTGAAGACTTATAACAATTCATTGCTACATTGTTGCAGTTTGTAATACAATCTATTCCAGGCTTGTCCAACATGCCACCTGCCAAGCCATTTTCTGAGGCCCACAGTGCTGCAACGGGAACGAAACACTCTACTTTCATTCCCACCCCTTGTCCCTCCTAGCAGGTTCCTAATGGCTGCTGAAGGGCTGGGGAAGGGACAAGGTTAGGCTTTACCTTGCCAACATGGTGCGGGCTCATCCCCTCCCCCCACATTTCATGGTGTCCCTTCCTTGCCCCACCCCTCCCTTCCTCATTTGCATGCCAGCTCCTCCCCTCTCCCACATTGCAGGGTTTCCTTCCCTAGGTCTGCCCCTCCCTTCCTCATTTGCATGCCGGCCCCGCCCTGTGCTGGTCTCTGCCGGGCCGTGTGGGCTGGAGCAGGTCGCGGTGCGGTGGGCTCGGGGTGCGGATGTCGGCTCGGAGGGATGCTGCAGCTGGGCCTGCGAGATGCTGCTGCTGTGGCTGTCAGGGCAGGAAGCCAGTGCCGCTCCCGCCTCCCCCGTGCCTGCAGACGTTGTGCTGGGGGGTGGTGAGTCGCGGGCCCCATGGAGGGAGGGACCCCTGCTGCTTGGGCTCGAGCTTGGGCTGCCCTGGGGGAGAGGGAGCAGGGGAATGTCCCTGCACATCCCGCACCCCCCTGTAGAGTCCCTACATGTCCCCCTGGCTGCTGAGCCCAGGCGTGCAGGTGTGGGAGCATCCTTGAGGCCGCCCAGGTGGCAGGGAGGACACGGCAGGATCAGGTGGCACCCCTTGACCCCTGCGCCCCCAGGCCGTGGCTGGACTGGACAGGCCGCACGAACGCCTGCTTCTGCTGGCCCACTGGGTGATTAAAAAGTTCATGATCCGGTCCCACATTCAAAAAGGTTGGACACCCCTGATCTATTCAGACCTGTTTGAGGCAAGAGGTCTGAAAGAGAGAGGGTGTTTCTCCTCTGTTAGGCTGGTTAACTGAGGTTTTTTTTTAATATGCCCAATTCAAATCTAAGTAGTATTGGTAGATAGTTACAGAGGCAGCCTAATATGCCGTGTCTTTCAATTATGCGGGGGAGTTGCTCATGTACGTCTTGTGACAGCTTTAAAGAAAGCCTCCAATAATGGGGAATACCAGGTACTACATGCTTCACATGTCTGAATCCAAAAAACTAGGAAAACTCCCCAATTTGGCAAGATTTGAGAGCTTGTTTTATACTAAACACCCTTTGCCAGGTAACAATGCTTGTCAAGCTTGCAAGGTTGTATGTTCAACTTGAGATGACATATTTACAACTCTTGATAAGTTTCCAACTCTACCTGCAAAACTGTTCAGAACAGTTACAGTTTCAAGCAGCTCTGAAATTGTGTTAGTCTCAAGTAAAATTGGGTAGGATTATGCTACCTACCAGCTGTCTCAGGAGTGCATAACATGATTGTTGGGCTTCATTTCTGCCAGGCAGTCCAAGTGACTTGCCATAATCTTTTGCTTGTCAAAATCCTTTTTCTATTTAATAAAAAAAAGTGAGCCCTGCATTTTTTCTGTGTGTTTGGTCTATTGTTCCCACTTACAAATGAGTTGGGGGCTTGCATCTGACCGAAGTAGATACCACTAGTGACAGCCTTTCAGTGGAAACTGCACCTGCAAGAGGTAGAGCTAGGTCACAGGGATGCAACTCATTTCTTTTCTGCCTAGTCATTAGTAACTAATAGGTTGACAACCATGAATGACTACCAGGCAAGTAACAACTGAGAATTAATTAAAAAAAATTTTTGAAACTTTAAAGCATTCATTGCATCTGTCATCTTCTGTTATTACGTTTTCTTAATTTAAGATCTATTTTGATATAACTTATTCTTTGTGTCTAGAGTTTCAAAATATGGATGTATGTGATCTCTGATCTAAAGATTTTAAGCAATTTTGGACATGATATAATGTAGGTTCAGCAAGCCAATAGAGCTGGTAGAACATGGGTAAGAATAATGACTCATTAAGCACTACTATATACTGTGGTAGAGGGTTTCCCCCTTCCCTTTTTTTTAGTAAGACAAGCTGTTAAGCCAAGCCAACCTCCTGATTTTGTTTTTGTTTGTTTTTTTATGTAAGGTATTCATTTTATCTGCTATTCTGGTATGGGGTGCCTGGTGATAGGTAGGAACAGAGTGCACAACCCTTTGTAGGGGAGGAGGAGGAATGGCTTTTTGAGGTTTACCAAAATAACCAACTGGAACAGGCGGGGGGGAACAGAGAACATTCTTTAGCTAATCAGTTTGCTTGCCGTTAATAAACAAAATATGCGAAGAGAACAGATCAGTCTGATTTCTTCCTAAATTTAGAGGATGTATCCCAAGAGATTATGAATAAATAGTATCCTTAACTTGCACAGAAGAATGTGAATGTTCTCTGCACCTACTGATTTAGAGGGGGATATGCAATGCACTGTTTTGTGCTTGTTTTTGTTTATTATTGAAAATCAGGATATTGGTTTAGATATAAGAGTAAGAATGAGGAGATGCTTTGCTTGGATGACTTTCTCTCTCTCTCTCTCTCAGGTTTATTTTAAGGCAAGTCAGCTTGAACCCTTTGAGAGTCTTTGCTATGGTTATGTCATTTCTGTGCCATATAGGCTAGTATAAAGATACCCAAAACTACCTGCCTGCTCTCTGAGGACAAGAATGCCCTGGATCTTTTTTAAATTAAAGATCTGAGATCTTTGTCTCCAGTTGACTGTCCACAGGATAAGTTCAGTGCTCTATCTTTTGTTTCTTCTTTCTTTTACCCATTAATCCTTCTTGTTATAACAGGAAAAATGTATTGCCCATTCAAAGGAAACAAGGCTCCTCCCCTCCCCCCCCCTTTTTTTTTTTACAGCACATGAAGATAAAACAAATTTGGCTGATATGTCTTTAATCGCCAGGTATACTGTGGATAGAGGTGCTGTGGAACAGGGGGGAAAGGGAAAGTGTTGGTAATATGTTTATGGTTCCAGAACCTGCAGCCTAACTCCCTTAAAACAGCGTATTCACAATGTTCAGCATCCATTTAAAAGCTGGACTTCAAAACGTTTTTTTTTTTTCCTGGTATTAGTCACCTGACCTGAGTGCTATAGCCAGATGTGGTACACTTTTTGCCAGATATTTCTGTTGCTTTAGGGAATCTGCTTGTAAGAGAACTAGCTACCAAGTTCTGTCAGATGTGCGTTTCAACTTTTTTTTTACTTGAACCCTTTTTAACTAAATGTTAGGTGTCATAATAAGAGACTAGTACATGGAGTGTATCTTTATTTGAAGGTGTTTCTAATGTTTACATATACTTTTTAATTTAAAGCAGCATCTACCTTTTTCTTTTTCAATACTGTTTGGTATTGGGTTTTGTTTCCAAGAAAACATTGTTATGGTTGGACATCTTCCTTACATCAGCCTTGTAAAAATTCTGCTTGTTTAATGGTGGCTAGGGTAGGCATTGTGCCTGGACTGGTAAATGGCTGTGATTCTTTGACAAGCCTTCCACATGTTGTAGCACTTCATTGATCAAGCTCGTAACTTAATGCTTTGTATGAAATAACTAAGCCCTTTCTTAGCCCTGGGTTCAAGCCTATTTTCCTTTGCTTTTAAGCTTTGATACACATTTATACGCTTTTGTCTGAGTTTAATCACTTGAGTTGAGTTCAATGCTTTCTGACTAGCTGAGTACTGAACTGAAAGGCAGGCATAAAACTCTTGTCTTGGGGACCTGGTATTTACTGTCTTAAATTATGAAACTCTCCACGTCGTTTCCCCCCTCCTCACCATAGAGCATGCCTGGCTGCCACATGCATGTGTGCATGTGGTGACCTTTGTCTGATCACCCTCCTCCTGTTTCCCGCAGTCCCTTGCAGGCTGGAAGTCTGCCAGCCTGCAAGGGGAAACTGGCTGTTTCCTGCAATTTTTCTCCTTACAAAGAGAAAATATGCATTTTTCCACAGTGAACGGAAAACCCAGATCCCTGGAAATACATGATTTAGTGGAAATAGTAGAAGACCATATTACTTAAGAGTAGTCTCATGTGGTCCTCAGTTTGTATGCTTTCAGTTAGCATGTTAACCTTAATTTTGGCATTTATCTCAGGTACTTGACTTCATAATTCTTATTTCCTCACCATACGACCACCTGGTCACTTTTTTTTGTAATAAGCAATAGGTATTCTCTTAGCTTTGGTGAAATTAGCCCATGATAAACATTTCCAGAAGGCATCTGAGGTCAAGAGCTTAGTATGGTTCAATAAGGAGATTACACTTGTAGAGAAAAATTCCAAAAAATTAAAGCATAGTTGTATAGAAATAATACAAACCCACATGCTTCATAAGATAAATTAACCATGAATGTCATGAATGCTAGCATTTTTTCAGTTCTTTAATTCCTGTAATGGATGGTACCTGAATTGTTTGTGTTGATACAACTTGGGTTCTTTTAATAGCCTATTTAACCTTGTTCTGAGGGATAGTAAAGAAGCTTGTACACTTGATGCCCATGCTGCACCTTAATCCAAGCTTCGTGATTATGGCTCTGAAAGATCTTTGTGTAGGTGGGATTTGAAGTATATTCATATTGGCACGTTATTTGG